TTTTATTGATTTGAACTCCGGCAACGACTATTTTGTAATCGCAGAAAGTGGTCGCTGCGACAACCTAACGAACAGGGCCTATGTGTTTTTTTTTTGTTGAAATGTGTAATTTATATATCAAAATAATGAATATTTACAAATGTTTGAGAAGGAGGTAAAGCATTTAAAAACAGAGCATAATAAAGAGGAAGAACAGAGCATTGCCAACGCAAGAAACAGAGTGTAGAAACGGAGACCACTACGGCTTTACCATGAGCCACCTCTGGAGCAAAAGACGCAGGCGAGGCTTGGAGGGATAATCCAATGAAGAAATCCTATTTCGGATAAGCTTTTCACTATGGCGGATCAGTTGAGCTATGGACATACATCCACTATTGTGAATGCGTGAATTTCGCTCCCACCATAACACATAAATAGACACCTGGAAGCAGAGCCTGATCAAGATATCTCGAAGCTTGTCACCCGTGTGACTTTGAATTGCCGCCACTGTCTCTTCCCAGCCCGGAGATAAGTGGTGTCGAAGGAGCTTCCCGGCCAGCGAGGACCAAAGTGTGAATGAGTGCGGACACGCGAAAAATAAATGATCTCGAGTTTCATCTATTTCACGGCAAAAAACACAATGTTGTTGTTTTCCCCAGAGGCACATTCGCTCCCCTGTTGACAAACGGTTTTGAATTGCGAGCCAAGAGATGAAACCACAACGCGGAATTCCTTGACGAAACCAAATGAGATTACCCCAGGGTACTAGAGAATGGGTTTCTCGAATCTGTTCCCATGTTTTAAGTGAATAGAACTGACCCGTGAAGCCATCCATATCAGTTTTCCATAGAAACTGATCCTTACCACGAGAAACATGGGGCAGAGGAGCAACACGTATGGCCTGGATGAGTGGATAGAGAGTGGCTGACCTTGAACGACGCAATTTCCAGCCTTGAAGGCCTGTCGCTTCCTTTACTGTCGCATGTAGTGGAATTCCTAATTGTCGAGGACCAGCAGGTCCGGTAATGTGTAAGAGACTACCTTGCGGCATCCAAGTATCAAACCAGAATGATGCGTCTTCCCCGTCACCAATCTCCACACGAATGAAAGGCTTAACGTCCTCACGAAGCTTTAGTAGCTTTTTCCAAATCCAAGAGCCTAGAGTAGAATTGGGAGCTGACCAGAATGACCCTCCCTTCATCAAATTTTTCTTAGTCCAAGCCACCCAAAGAGAACCCGATAAAATGAATAACCTCCATATTAACCGATATGCAAAAACACGAGAAACATCACGTAATCGTCTCAGCCCTAGACCCCCTTCCGCCTTTGGTTTACATACCTCAGTCCAAGCTACTTTAGCACCCGATGAAACATTAGGATTACCCGACCACAGAAATGCCCCACACATTGTTAAACAAATTTGGTCCTTAAGATTAAAAAAATAAATGAAATCATATGTTTAATGAAAATTATATTTAGTTAGTAGAAAATTAGAATGAAAAACCTAACACTCATACTTAAACTCATTAACACATTCAAAAATTTGAAATATGATCACTTTTAATTTTTTAAAAAGTTAAATTATATTATTATTAATAATACAATTTTCATTGTATTGTTTTTACTATTTTTAAATTTCATTTATTTTTCTTAATTCGTTTTTATTTAATTAAAATTTATATTAATTATAAGTAACATAATTTTGCACTAAATGAGTATTTTAAATATACTTTAATGTAAGAATAATAGTCTTGCTTAGGTGGATGCTTAGGTGGACACCTTAAGAGGAGAGAAAACTCTCTCATTATATTAGAAGTATGTATTGTCTAAGTACGAAGCAGCGTTAGGGCAAGCAATTAACCTTCGGAAGTCAGCTATCACCTTTGGAGAAAGGAGAGGTCAACAACAAAAACGTGAATGAGAAGAATCTTGGGTATTCATAATGAGGGTGGAGGGGAAAATATTTGGGGATACCAGAACAATTTGGAACAAAGAAAAAAGAAAATTTTCATTACATAGTGGACAAGGTTAAGGAAAGGACGCAGGGATGGAGCAAAAGATTCCTTTGCCCAGGAGGAAGGGAAGTTCTCCTGAAGTCAACAGCTTTGGCAACGCCAGTTTATGCTATAAACATCTTTAAACTATCCAAAGGTATATGTGACGAGATAGAAGGAGTTTTGGCAATATTCTGGTGGAGCCCAAGAGAAGAACGAAAAGGGTTGCACTGGCTTGCAAGGAATAGACTGAGTTTACCGAAGAAAGAAGGTGGTCTTGGATTCAGAGACATCGAAAACTTTAATCTGGCTTTGCTTGCAAACAATTATGGAGGCTCTTACAAAAACCAGAATGCTTATTAGCTCGAGTGTTACGAGGAAGATATTATGCAGATACCAATGTTCTAAATGAGAGGGTGAGAAAAAAGAGCTCTTGTACCTGGAAATCGATCCTCCATGGAAGGGATTTATTGAAACAAGGAATGCGTTTTGTTATATATATAGGAGATGGCAATATGGTTGACACATGAGCTGATCCGTGGCTACCTTAACACCAACCAAGACTTAGGAATTATTAGAGAACCGTTCACTATAATCATAAAACTAAACAAGCAAATCACAAAACTATAATCAACCAACTCTCGTCTATATTGACTATCTATGCCTAATAGCAGGAATTCCAACTCTCGTCTGTAAATCCCTAATACTAAACAAGCATTAACGATCAAGTTCGATATGTTCACAAAAGTATCTAAACCAACTCTCGTCTGAATCTAGCTACTTCTGCTCATCTAAGATAGTTCCAGCAATAAGCACTCTCGTGTCTAACATATTATCCTAAGATCCAATTCTACTTAATTATTCTAGAATTAGCATTAAGAATAATCAAAGATAAAGAACTCTATAGATATTATCTTAAGAAGTAATCAACCTAAAAATTCATCTAAATCCCTACTAAGAATCCCTAAACCTAACAAGAAAACTGCTTAGACATGATCATGGAAGCAGAAAACATGTTTAAATAGAAAGCTTAAAAGAAATTAAGAAGAGATTAGAGTTTAGAAATATCTTCTCTAGATGAGTTCTCTCCAATTATCTCCCAAAGGGTTCAAGCTCCAAAGAATACAATAGAATGAGAGATCGCTCTAAACCAAAACCCTAAATATATATTTATATGTCTTTAAATACGTGCAAGGACTTCTTTGAAAATAAGGAAAAGTTCTGAGGTGATTCTGCAAATCTTCAAAACTTCAAAGACACGTGAAATTGAATTGCCGTAAGATATTGGTATCGACCGACACCAGGGGTGGTGTCGATCGACACCCACACCAAGATTGGTCTTCGAACTGCTCTTCTAGCATAACTTCTCGGTTTTGCTCTATAATCTCCAAATTGGTCTCGTACGTGCATAAACCTGAAAAATACTAGAAAAGACTCTAGAAATAACAAAAAAAAACTCTAAAATAATACTTATATCATGGTTAAAAACCGTAAAACCATGATATATCAGCTATTGGAAAAGACCGGACACTAACTAGGTAAAAAGCAATTACGATGGATCTTTTCTCAACAGCAGTAAATCAATTAAAGCTGGATGGATTCTACGTGACGACATCGTTTTATTTAGGATTGGGACAAGGCTTAGGCGAAGTAGCTACATGTGCTTTAGAATGCAAGATTCAGGCCCTGATAATGGCAATGCAAAACTGTTGGATAAGGGGATATGAGAAGTTCTGTTTTGAAGACAACTAAATGACCTACTCAAAAGAAAGAGCTTGAACTTTGGAGTACTCAATTGGATGCGAGAAGTTAACTTCTGGAAACTACGATTTAAAGAGGTAAAATTCTACAACGAGAATCGAATAAGCCAGCTCATATCCTAGCAAAGCATTCAATACAAGATAATGTGTCTTTTGTGTTTCATTTTATTATGTTCCATGTTTTATTGTAGAAACTCTACACTGCGACCATTTGGGCGCTGCTTCCAACTTTTAAATAAAGCAGATGTTCAAAAAAAAATAGCAATTGCCAAACAAATAAGAATCCTAAACTTATCAAAAATAATTATTTTAAAAATTCAAATAGTAAATCTTACCATTAAATATGAACAAAAATTTCATACATATAAATCGAAATTTAATGTATTAAACTACAGAAATTACTTTCCTAAAATTAAATTTTTCTACAAAGTTACTTGGAGTCAAGTTGTTTGGTTTAAACAAGGTGAACCACGGTTTTCTTTCATCCTGTGGTTAGCAATAAAAGACAAATTGTAAACGCGAGTTCGTATGAGAGCATGGGGTTGTGTTCAGCATTTTTTTTTTTTTTTTTTTTCTGGTGAAAGAGTTGAATCAAGAGATTACCTATACTTCGCTTGTCCCTACATATTCACTATTTGGACAAGGTTGTGTGGAAATCTTCTCGGATCATCCATAACACCAGACTGGTCAGATACATTAAATCATTTGATCCACTCCTCACATTGCACAATGGACTCCATTCTTAAATGTTTTGGCAAGAACGGAACTCACGGCGTCATTACAGTGGCTGGTCGGACTCAGCAGTCCTGACCCGACTCATTGATAAGGTCATGCGAAACCGTATCTCCTCTCTTCGATACAAAGCTCCACATAAATTTGAAGGTTTACTTCGCCGATGATTTGAAGTAAGATTGATATAATGTTCAAATGTTTAAGCTACAGCCTATTCTTGATTTTATTTAGAGTATTTACACTAGATACCCTAAGACCACAAAGTATTTAAGTCAAAGGAGTAGTGGCTTTTTCGTAAATAATTTGTGTGTTTGGTTTATCTTGAAAAGACCATTATACCCCTATGGTTGTAGAGTCTAGCAGTTGCACCCAGACATAATTGCGAAACGAAACTCCGGTCTATGTGTCGTTTGATATTTGTTAAAAGCGACAGTTTCGCTTTTGCATTTATTAATTTCGTTGCGTTTCTCTACTTGAAATTTGAATTCTCCGTTCTTCTCCCTGTGTCGAAACCGAAAGCGAGAATCTTTAAGTCCGGCGATTTGAATAGTGAGGTTCGATGGAAAACCTGCCGGAGAGAATCTTTAAGTCCGGCGAAGAGCCAGACGGCGATAGGGTTCACAAATACTTCCAACTCCAATACCTAAACGATTTATCGGAGCATCTGGAGGCAGACGAAATTTCGAAGATCAGAGGCTCGCGGCTGGGCAAATTGTTCGATATCGGGAAAAAGTTTTCTTTTTCCAACAAACTCTGTTTGTTTTTGCTTACAAGGCAGTTAGCAATCCAGAAAAAGCATGAGATTTGGTTTGTTTTTGCGGGTAAGCCGATTAGGTTTGGTCTGAGGGAGTTTGCATCAGTGACGGGTTTGCGGTGCGATCCAATTTCAATTGGAAAGGCCGATGGAAAAAAGAAGGTGGTGAGTAAGAACAAGATAAAGAAGAAGTCAACTGAAGCCCCTTACTGGTACACTTTGTTCGCGAGGAATGAAGAGGTGACACCGGAGATTTTAATTAAACGGCTTAAATCTGGCGTTGTCCGTGACCCCGACATCCGATTGAAATATGCTTTATTGGTTCTGATTGATGGTGTTTTGTGCCCTCGATCTTTGAATATGAAGATCCAAGAAGAAACCGTAGAAGTGTTGAGGGACGTTGACAAATTTCTTAATCATCCTTGGGGCAGGATATCGTTTGATATGACTATGTCATGTATCAAGTCTCGAAAAGCTTCTGGGCTTGCCCAAACAAGCTTTGCTGTTCAAGGTTTTGTGCATGCGTTGCAACTAGTTCTTTTAGAGGTTGTCCCTGACATTGAGAAGAGCATGCCGGTTGATACTCCTGTCTTCGTTGGCGAGGATTCCGAAGAAGAAGCTGTAGTGGTTGGTGCTGTGGCATTGGCAAAGTTAAAATTGGAGCCAATTTGGGTGATAGACAGTCAAGCAGAGGTTAGTGATTCAGTTCAATGTCACCACATGTTTAGTTTTATCGAGGCATTCTTTTTTGTAGCCTGCTATAGTAGTTAATAGATGTTATTGGTTGTTTGCAGGCTTCTGTTGAATCTATTATTCCTCTTGATGATGCTGTTGTTGGAGACGATTTGTCTTGGTCTGACGAGGTGGAAGATGTGAAAGTTGATAATTTGGTTAGGTTAGTTCAAGAAGGCTACCAATGGTCTGGTGATGAATTTGGAGGTGGTGTGGTTGTGTCTGCGCTTCCTGTAGAACCTAAAGAAAAAGCAGAAGGGAAAAAAGTTGTTAAGTCTAGGAAGAGGAAGAAGTCTCCTGTTTGTGGCAGCAGTAGTGATGGTAGCCAGCCTGTACCATTTTCTGAATCCCAAATGGAGTGGTTAGCAAAGCAAATTAGTTCGCAAGTTTCTTTGGTTGTTAGTAGCATGGAGGATCGCCTGTTGTCTCGTTTAAAAGGGAAAAGTGGAGCTGGGCCTGTTGGTGGTAAGATTGCTGCTGCTGGAGCTGTTTCTCCTGTTGCCAAGGGTAAGGTCAAACCCTCTAGCCGTGGCAAAAAGGCAGTTCTACCCAAGCGGAAACGGATGCGTGTTGATGGAAGGTTGAGGGAGATTAGAGATGATGATGAGACTGAAACGGCTACTGTCCCAGTAGGGGATGAGTCTGAAACGGTTGGTGGCAAAGGAGGGGATGAAGGAGGGGAGGATGTTAGAATGGGTACTCAAGAAGGAGAGGCTTCTGTTACTATGGAGGATGTAGAGACTGAAGAAAGAGGTGGCAAAGGAGGGGATGATGTTAGAACGGCTAGACAACAAGGAGATGCTGAGGAACATGTTGATGTACATCCGGATGATACTGTTAAATCAGTGCTTGATTCTCTGAACCTGCCTAGTGAAGTGGAGGTTAGTTATTCACTATAATGTTAACACATGTGTATATGTATCGGGTCATTATTGTTCGTACCATGATATAGTAGTTAATAGTGTTTTGTTTGTTAGCAGGTCTCTGAGAATTTAGCTCCTGATCCTCAGCAGGAGGATGTTGCTGTTCTCAGTGGAGATGATTGTAATGACCAGCAGGCTGCTGCGAAAAGTGGGGATGGTTTTAATGACCAGGATGGTGCTGACAAAAGTGGGGATGGTCTTAATGACCAGGATGCTGCTGCCAAAAGTGGGGATGGTCTTAGTGATCAGGATGCTGCTGCCAAAAGTGGGGATGGTATTAATGACAGGATGCTGCTGCCAAAAGTGTGAATGATGTCGCTGAATGTCAGGGGAAGGAATCTAGTGAGGCTGGAACTCTTGCTCTCTTCCCGAGTGGGGCTTCTGTTGGTTTAGAGGAAAATGTGTCAGGCGAAGGGGATGCTATTGATAAGAAGTGGTTGGAAATTGAGAAGTTTTTAGCGGATGGCGGGTAATGTGTCCATCTATTTCTGGCTATGTCTAGGAATTCGTGAAAATATATGGTTAGTTTTGTTTATATCTTGACATATTGATGTGGATCTTGTCAGGAAATATCTTTTTGGGGGGAGCTTATTCCTCCTAACCAAGGACGTGGAGGAGATTGTTGGACTACAAGTTGTATGGAAACCATGGGTTAGTATCTAAATCTTCTTTTCTAATTAATGTTGTTTCATATCATGTGTAAACCTTGTGCTCTCTTGTTTGTAGATGATGGATGCATTTATCAAGTATTTCCGTGATAAGTGGGCTACCTTAGAGGTTGGCTTAAATCAACCTAAGGTGGTTTTCCAGGGGACAAAATTTGCTTCCCATATCCTTGGTCATCGAATCAAATTTGAGAAGTCTGTGAAGAAGAAGTATGTATTTGACCCAGATTTGATGGCGTGCGTGCCTCCGGATTTTGATACTCTCTACTTCCCATTCAACTTTGACAAACAACACTGGGTAGGGATGTGCCTTGATATCAGGGGGAGATATCTCTATGTGTTTGATTGCAACCAGAAGGTGCGTCGGGACACTAGGCTCCGGAAAGAAATGGAACCTTTGTTGGAGATGCTCCCTTTCGTTGTTCGTCAAGCGTCGCCTGAGCTGATGAAGGCAGTCCCCACTGACCCATTCATCCTAAGCAGAGACACACATCTTCCGACTTGTCTACACCCTTCGGAGAGTGGCCTAATGTCTCTTTTGTTCATAGAGAGGCATGCAGTAGGTGGGATTGAGGCAGCTAGAGGGGTGAGGCCTGAGGAGTTGGCTGTTCAAGCGAAGCAATTGCTTATTGAGATGTATGATGTGTATGCTGAGAAGTGAATTGTTGGTTTAGGATTTGTCCTTGTTCTTATTGGAGTTTCTAATTGTCTGTCTTAGGATTTGTTACTGAATAATTGAAGTTTATTTAATAATTTATCATGGTACGCGAGATTTTAACGCAGGATTTATATTTATATCTAGTTATGATCGTATGTATCTAGATTTGGAAAATGTTCATATCAACTGGATAACAGAACAGTTTTATTACTCTTTCAACTTTGCTTTAAAATTCTCATTTCATTTAATAATTTATCATGGTACGCGAGATTTTAACGCGGGATCTATATTTGTTTCAAGTTATGATCGTATATATCTAGATTTGGATAATGTTCATATCAACTGGAAAACAGAACAATGCATTTACTCTTTCAACTTTGCTTTAAAATTCTCATTTCATTTAATAATTTATCATTGTACGCGAGATGTTAACGCGGGATTTTTATTTGTTTCAGGTTATGATCGTATGTATCTAGATGAGATTTGGATAATGTTCATATCAACTGGAAAACAGAACAATGCATTTACTCTTTCAACTTTGCTTTAAAATTCTCATTTCATTTTGTTCATTACAAAGTTAGACAAAACACAAACAAACAAAAAAAAAGAAGAGAAACCACCAAACTACCTAACTACACTAGTAACCAAGAACAAGTTTCTGGTTTTTGGTCTTACGGAACATTAAGATAACAATTGCAATGACTGTTATACAAAGGCTCACCAAGCACAATTTGGTCATCAATTTCCATCTCTGAAATTCCTTTTTGCTCAAAATTCCATCTTCCTTCAATTCGTTCATCAAACTCTTTAACTCTGCAATCTCCAATGCTACCTCAGATTTGGCATTGTTTACCTCGCTATCAATGATGGAAATCTTCGGTATAACATCTACAACCTCCTCGTACACACAATCTTCGACCCATTTAAACAAATGGTCCTGCAATTACATCGAAAATCATTTTCCGACCAAACACAAACATTTAATAACAATTATACTTACATCTTGATTGGTTGGACAACGGAAGAAAGGTCTTCCTGGGTTCTTCTTCGTGCTTGATGTATAGATGACGAGATCTCGCCCGCAGTGACACTTCGTAGGAAACCCACGATTCACACGTCCTCCATCTTGAACACTCGAACTCCCAGAATTACAACTCATAACTATAGAAGATGGTGATTTAGTGTTGAACGGCAGATAATTGATTTTTAGAGTTTACGTTTTGATTTGGGGATTTCTTAGGATAAGGATTTGAGAATCGAATTGGATATTTTTAGGAGCTTAGAGTAAGTCGCAAACGACGTCGTCTTTGTTATTCCCTTTAATGTCACTTCATATTTGAAATATTTTAAACACATATTTATTTATATCATGGCACAAGGATATATATCGGCGTACAAGTTGAGATAGCGCACATAAAAGTTTAGAAAACCAATACAAGTAGCATCTCTCGCACACATTTATTAATATCATGACACAGCAATATATACCGTGGTACATGTTAACATAGCGCACAGAAAAGTAAGGCAAACCAATACAAGTAGCATTCCTCGCACCTTGCTTCGATGGTGTGAATTTCAGAACAACCTGGTATTTCTGTGTGCCATGAATTGGCGTATGAGTTAAGGTGGAGGCTTCCCATTTGTTTAATTTTCGCAAATATTGAGTCGCCCATGGCTAGGACGGATCCCCAATCTTTCTTGTATAGTTTTGATGCGTATAAATTGGCAACCTCTTCCTCTCCTGAACAAATGGACAAGACTGCCATAAGGAATGTTGATTCCTCAACGTGATTTAGAGCTTTAAAGATGTGTTCCCGGGCTGCCTTAATATCATTTTCCCAAAACGCAATCCGGAGGCCCTCTAAATAGTGTGCTTCTGGTTGTCTTTCGGCCAGCGCAACCTCGAACTCGTTGCGGAGAATTCCACCTTTCTTTATCAAGGATGGTTGGTCTAGATATTTCCTCATCATATTTGTTTTTTGTTTAGGTATATTTGGATGTTTAGTTCTTCGAAATGGACCCATTTATATATTGCAATGGGTTAGGTAGATATTAATGCAAAGGGGTAGGTAGGAAATGATGGGAAACGTGTGAAGTAGCTTTAATTTCGGTTCTAACATGTGTCATTCCTATATGAGTCTCTTCCTATATTTGTGTCATTCCAATAGGTAGATAGTAATGCAATTGGTTAGGTAGGAAATTATGGGAAATTGTTCGGTAGCTTTAATTTCTGTTGTAACTTGTGTCATTCCAATATTTGTTTTGTGGTCAATTCGATTTGATAACTAAATAGGTAGCCGGATATGTATTTTGTTATCCCGACACAAAACATAAAGGCTTTGATATGTAAATTGATAGAGGGACATTAACAAGGAAATAGCCGCTAAACCAAGTCATTATAAAAGTTATTTTACATTGTTTCCCTTGCTAAGAGAGGGGTAGGTCATAATATATTACAAGTACGAATGGGGTTGCGAACCCCCAAAAAACAAGAGTCGGTTACATCCTTCTTTAGTCACCAAAGTCGTTCGACCCAATCCGAACAGATAATCCCAAAAGACGCGTTCTTCATTCGTACTTTAGTCCCCGCAGTGCCGAGCTATGCCAAAATGTGCAAGGTAGACTTGGTTTTTTATCTACATGCCCCCTGCATAATGATAAAAAAAAATTTGGTGACTAAAGTACCGGGTTAACAACATCCATATCCGGATATAAGGTGTTCAATATGAATTTTTCTGAATATGTTGAGGCTCTGTGGGACTTACTATATGGGCATGCGGCAAGTGGCCCTGTTGTGCCCCTTAGCCTTGCATCTTGAGCAAACATTCTGTCCTCGCATCCCTTTCTTCTGAAAAATATAGATGGATACATAAGTATATACCGTGCTTTATAGCGATGTATCGGATACATGTTTGTATAGCTGAATGTTGCGAGAGAGGTGGCTCTTACCTGAAACTCTCCGCGTGAGAAGAAGCGTTTTTTCTTTGGCCTCCCTGGTGCGCGCTTCGTGTGAGGTGGCAGCAAGTTCATTGAAGCAATATCCTCTGGGAGTTCGTGAAGACTAGAGAGCGCCGGAACGGGATTGATGGAATCCTTGTAAGCCATCACCCAATAACATGAGGTATAGTGTACATCAACGAGAGAATGCATCGGAACCTGACATATAGAAGAGTTATTTCTACTTGTAGCACGCTATACGTATAGATAACGAAATATCAATACCTATAACCAGATATAAGTATTTATTAATAACTATATATCGGAACCTGATCAACGATAGCAGCAGCAACGGCATGGGGACAAGGGATTTTGAGAAAATTGAATTCCCTGCAAGTGCATGATCTCAGAGCTAGCTGGACATGGTATCCCCCCTTTGCCCCTCCGACAACATCGTATTCCCCCGTGTTAACCTTCCTCACGGCGAACCCCCCAGATTTCTCAAAGTTTTCTTGTAAGATTTCTCTTACCTTTGGTGTCAGCATAGTAGCCTCCTGTTTTGCAGTCTCCCGACGTATTGCGAACCAAGACATGAGAGTTTTACGCACAAACTCAACGATGTAGACAATTGGAAACTCTCGAGCTTCTTTGAGAACGGCATTGAGAGACTCAGCCACATTACTTGTCATCACATTATAGCGTTCTCCAACGAAGTAGGATCTTGCCCAGTGGCCAAACCCGATTGACTTGAGATATACTCCACATTCGGGGGATACCCGGCAAATCTCTCCAAACACTAGGTGGAAGTCCGTGATACGGTATGCCCGTGCGGCCCTCGACACCAAGAAAGAAAGAGTCTTCGCCTTGAAAATGCTTAAGATATTACGTTGCAAGTGGACTACGCATGCCGCGTGTGCTGCATTTGGGAAAACCTAGGACATAAACAAAAGATAATAGCCATGTTAGCAAGGTATATAGGATTGTAGCTTGCTATTTTGCCATATATCATGAAATACCCAGAAATGTCGTATACCTTCCTGAGAGACGAGTAGATGGAAGAATGCCTGTCTGAGACGAAAGTAACAGTTGGATCATTGGGTAGTATTTGCCTTAACATTGTCAGGAACCACTCCCAAGCCCTATCGTTTTCACTGTCCACGATTCCAAAAGCCACCGGGAAAATTTGAAAGTTTCCATCTTGGGCGCTCGCTGTGATCACGCAACCACCGTAATTTCCTCTCAGATGCGCACCGTCTATGACTATAACCTGCGCACCGTAAGTTCATACACATTTTTATGGTTTCAAGCAAAGAAAAAACGTCCGATATTTGTCACTGTGACGGGACATAAACAAACATACCAGGGTATATGTGTCTGTGACTATTACCTTGCGCATGAACTTGAGGCCGTTTATCGAGGCAGCTAGGGCGAAGAAGAGGTACTTAAACCTTTGGTTTCCCAACTCATCCACAGTTGTTTCTAGTGCAGTTAATGTCCCAGGGTTGGCAGCCTTAAGAGCATGCAAGTATGCCGGTAGAAGAGAGTAGCTATTGCCCATTGAACCTCTTGCCCCGTCCATAGCGATCCCCCTAGCTCTCCAAGCTTTCCAATATGAGATTGGGACGCGGTGGTCATTTAAACAGATCCTTTGAACGTCCCCTGGTCTTGGTCCGGTCCCAGCACCCATGTATTGCGGCCTCATGAACTCACCCACAACTCTGGCGGAAGCTTGTTTGTGGTAGTTACTACGGGCTTCAACGCTGCAAGTGTGTTCCAGACAAGCACTACGGACTTGGTAGTTGTCCGAGTCTTCAAGTCGGACGACATACACCCGCCAGGGGCAGCTGTCGGCAACACAGTTGAGGAGGACCACTTTCTTGTCTGACCGGGTGTGACGAAAATGGAACTTCCTTTGAAGTGCATGGATGGCCATTTTGAACTTGAAGTCCTCCTTGTTTTTATAAACCCGACCCACGAATATGTCATCTCCCTCGTACGTTGCATCGTCTATAGCTTGGTCGACAACTGTGTTTCCTGGTAAGACACGTGTGAATTTTCATCAAGTTGAGAAAAAATATCATATATAACATCTTATAACGTCAAAAATCGAGGAGTTATTAATATTTATAGCAAGATATTTACATATATAACCGAA